ATCTCTCAGGTTATGTTTATCCTGGAATGTTTGATCACACCATCGTATTTGATTGATAGTTTGCTGGATAGATGATTCTTGGTTGACAGTTTTTTTCATGCAGGGCTTTGCATATGTCTCCCCATTGCCTTCTTGCCTGCATGGTTTATTCTGAATAGTCAGAGTTTAATCTAATTTGCTTGCCTCTATAAGTTATATTTCTCTTCTCCCTGGATGCTTTTAGTATTCTTTCCTTGTCTTTGATTTTAGAGAGCTTGATTATTATATGTCTTGGAGATTTTATTTGAAGTCTATCCTTCCTGAGGTTTGTTGATGCCCTCTCAAGAATTCTTATCAGCTGGGCGCTTCACTCTCCACTCTAGTCCTCTGTGGCTATGTCACTGACTCTGGGTCCAAGAGTCCCCAGGTCTTGCCACACTGCTGGCCAACCAGGTCTCCACCTGGGTTCACAGGAAGCTTGCAGCTTCATTGCTCTTTTCCCCTCACTTCTCCTTATTGGTGACGAACGTGGACACCAATCGGAGCGTGTATTCCCACTGAGTCTTAGTCTTGGAAGGGGTTTGCTCTGAGGGGACCCGACCACTTGCCTTGATGTCTCCTGGGCGAGCAACTTTCTTGTTCTTGTAGTAATCAGTTGGTCTGCCTATAATGTTTTGTATTTTTCCTGTCAGGTCTTTCTTTCAAGAAGTATCTACTGTTCTTCTAGCCACTCCAGGTTTGTCTGCCTGTCCTTTTAAGAGGAAATTTCCCACCTCTGAAGATTCTGGATGCTGTTCAGGATTCCACCTATAATTTTATATAATGCAGAGGCTCCAGAGGAAGCTTCCTTCACTGGGCACATTGTAGCCCCATTTTAGCTGTTCCAATCAGTTGTAGGCAGAAGACGGACTTACAAGCTTTCTATGGTGATATTTCTGGCTATTCCTTTCTCTCCCCCTCAAGTATCTATTTTATATTTCAGCTCACTAATACCTAAGATATCAATGTTCATGTGTTCCATTTCATTTTTCATAATTTCCAATTTTCCTTGATTCATACTTCATACATTCCATGTTCCAATTATTAATGGATGTTTATAGCTGTTTCTCTTCATTTTGAGTTGCGCCCCATCAGAAATGAAGGTCCCTTGGGCTTTACTACCGAGGACTTTACTCCATTTGTGTCATTACGGTCAACTCTACTTTGTGGAGCCAGTTCTTCCCCAGTCGCATTTTGAGTGCCTTCCAACCTGAGGGGCTCATTTTCCAGCACTATATCTGACAGTGTTTCCCGGCTTTTCATTAGGTTTTCAGTGACTATTAAATATTCGGAAGTAGTTCGTCACTCCTTCTTCCTATTCTGTCTTCGTCTGAAAGCTCATCTGAAACCTGTCAACCTTGGGTGACCCTGCTGGTATTTAAAATACCCATGTCATAGCTTCCAGAATCACAGCAACTCAGAAGCCACCAGAGTACGATAAACTGACAGATGAGTTTTATGTACTAAACACTAATGACCAAAGACCAGAAGAGTTGTGGGATGACATCAAAAACATCATACAGGAAGAAAGCAAAAGGTCATTAAAAAGACAAGAAAGACAGAGAAGACCAAAATGGATGTCAGAAAAGACTTTGAAATTTGCTCCCCAGTGTAGAAATGCTAAAGTAAATGAAAGAAATGAGTAGGCAAAAGAGCTGAACAGAAAATTTCAAAGGTCAGCTCGAGAAAACAAAGTCAAATATTTTAATGAAATGTGCAAACAAAAGATTGAGGGTTAGAATACCAACAGGGACATGCTCAGCATTTCTTAAGCTGAAAGAACTGAGGAAAAAATTCAAGCCTCGACTTGGAACCCTTTGGATATATTGTTAGGAGGGACCAATCCCCTGGAGAAGGATATCATACTAGGTGAAGTGGAAGGTCAGGGAAAAGAGGAAGACCCTCAATGAGATGGATTGGGGCAGTTGCAGCAGCAATGGACTGAAGCCTAACAACAATTGTGAGGATGGTGCAGGATCAGGCCGTGGTTTGTTCTTTTGTGCTTATGGTCACTAAGAGTTGGAAACAACTTGATGGCAACAAGTACAACAAGGCTTGTTGACTTGCTGGATGGCCAGAGGGCTGTAACATCTGCTTATATTGCAAGTTAACTCAAGATTTAGCAGAAAAACACCCAGGAGAGTACTTCTCCACCATGACAATGGTACTGCACATTCCTCTCATCAAACAAGGGCAATTTTCCAAAAATTTTGATGGCAAATTATTAGGTGTCTATGTTATAGTCCTGATTTGGCTTCTTCTGACTTCTTTTTAGTTTTTCATCTTAAAAAAAATCTTTAAAGGTAACCTGCACTTCTTCAGTTATAATGTAAAGAAGATTGCTTTGACATGGCTAAATTCCTAGGACGCTCAGTTCTTTTTTGTTGTTAAGTGTAGTTCAAACTGACTCTGCAGTCCAGTACATTAACCTGCTCAGTTCTTTAGAGGTGGACTAAATGGCTTTTATGCTATCATCATTTACAAAAGTGACTGGAAGTTGATGGAGATGATGTTGAGACATAAAGCTTATATTTAAAATTTTTATCTTTTAATTCCATTTTTTCATGAACTTTTTGAAGCCTTCATAGAGTATAGGCTTTCTGTTTGAGCATTTAAAATATTATATTAGCAATTATACTTAGAATATTCTAGTTGGTCTCAGTGAAGAGTAGTGAGGGCCTGAACAAGGCTTATAGTCATTCAAATTGTAATTTATTAATTCATAATAAATAGTTACTAAATATCTACTAATTAGAGCGAGTGATATTATAATTGTGCTTTATACTAGGGATATGAAGTGTATGTGACATAGTTCCTGTCCCTAAGAATTTCCAGTCTAAATTAGAGGGCAGTGCTATTGTTGTTGTTAAGCTGCCATTAAGTTGGGCCCTGACTCATGGTACATCCTTATCAACAAAGAAACAGAATGCTGCCTGAGCTTGTGCTATTCCATTGACTGGTGATAGATTGGACCGATTTGATCCATAAGTTTTCATTGGCTGATTTTTTGGAAGTAGATGGTCAGGATTTTTTTTTTTTTAAAAAAAGTTCATCTTAGTCTGAAAGTTGCACTAAAACCTGCTCAGCATCATGGCAACACACAAGGGTCCACTGGCAGTGGAGACCAGCGGTGGCTGTACATGTGGCATATGCACACAGAAGGGGAGCATTCTACTACTGGCCCACCACCACCAGGGCAGTAAACATGCATAAAGAAATACACTCTGGTGGTGATGTACAGGGTTTCCACAAAGTGGCTGGTGAGTTTCAACTGTCAATCTTGTGATTCAAACTGACATTGCGGTCCAGTGTTTTATCCTACAGTGCCACACCAGAATTCTAAATACATGCTACTGTTTTAGATTCTACCAAAGAAGTCTATACATGGCTTATTAGGAATACAAATGAGGGGAGGGGGTCAGGAAGAAGGCTCAAAGAAGATTACTGCATGTAGTGCTTAGGATGATGCCAGGCACAGAAGAAGTCAATACATATTAGTGATTATTGTTAATAGTTATGGATGTAGGAAATATGCTTTAACATGACAACAAATCAGTAAGAAGTGTTTTATGAAAAACATACTCTAAAAGTGAGGAAAAAAAAAAAAATGCTTGCTCCTTTCCTTCAGTCTCAGTTAAGCTTTCTATTTCACAAAAGTTCTCCTTAATCTATTTACCTAAAAGGTGTATGAATAAAAAGGCTAATATTCAAGCAGAAAACATAGTTATTTGCTGCAAAAATTTTTTAAAGTACAAGCTTCATTTTGTGACCAGCTCCTTTTGGATAGAATCAGCAAGAATTATTTCATGTCTCCTTCTCTCCCCTAAAAGAAGTTTATCAAAATGCTCAAAAAGATAAGTGGTGGGTGGAAACATGGGAAGCATCTGCTTAATGAGAATGGAGTTTCTTTTTTGGGAGATAAAAATGCTCTAGAATTAGTTATGGTGATGGCTGTACAATTTTGTAAATATACTATAAGTCAATGAATTTAAACAGATGAATTATACATTATTTGAGTTAATCTCAATAAAGATGTTATTTTAAATTATATATAGTGGATGAATTAAACTGATCAAGCAATTAATAGGATAAAACAAACAGAACATAACCACATACTAATTTGGCCTTCAGAAGATCTATTTCCAATTCTAGTTCTTAAAAATATTTCTACCTTTTCTTTCAACAAATACTTGGGGCCAACATATTTCAAAGAGGTTCATTTTTATGACAAATACCTTTGACATGCCAGAACCCATGCATTTATCCTGGAACTGTGGTGCAGGTGAAACAATGCTGAAATCTTCAACCCTGCTTTTTTCTTGGCCAATTTAGCCAATAGATTCAGTGCCTTCATTTTGCAAGCCCAGTACCATCCATATATCAGGCCAATCCTGCCCAAGTGCCCATTAAGTGGTCTGTATCTGATGTGTCTAGGTAGGAGGGAGAATAGAACACTCACATCTTCCTCATTTCCAACCCCAACTTTTGCCTGGATCATGTATCTGGGTTTCTGCCTGATCTTTTGATCTCAGTAGAACTGAGTCGATGTTCTCAACTCAGTAGGCTGTCTGACTTGTCCTTTCTCTGAACCCTAATTCTTTCTCTGGATGTTAAGCTTTATCTTCTCTTTGCTCAGGCACAAGCTAGGCCCTCTTACACTGGGCAGACCATGTACTAGATTTCAGACCAGGGCACTACCTAGACATTTTTGCTGTTCTGTCCTTTGTCAAATTTTCTTGGAGAACAAGTTCAATTTGTTTGGCGAATGGTCATTTGAATGCTACTTCACTTGGAGTTTGCCCAATAGCCAGCTCAGTTATTCTAGTTTGAGAAACCAACTAGTTATTTTCTTTTTCATGTCCAGGAACATGTCTATGGCTGAGTCTATCAGTTATGATATGAAGGTACTCTGCAACGCTGTGCCCAATACATGCTAGTTTTCTTTCCTTCAGATCAAGTCACTTGAGGGTTTTTCTGCTTACCTGGTGTACACAGTCTAAGAACTGTAAGAAGACTGGAGCAAAACCACTACCCTGACTGTTGAGGGTCAAGCTGCTCCGCTGACTGAATTTATGTCCAAAAGAGAGCCACTCTTTTTCGACCAACATCCGAAAGCCTTCAAGTGTTCTATAAAAGGGATCACTGAGTAACTGAACCAGGGATGTCACCTAGGGTACAAACAAGATGGATAGTTCATTACTTTCAGTCCTGAAAAACCCCAGTTTCTGAAACACAAATACTTCTTATAACGGTAGCTAATTCATAGGTAAAATTACCTGGATGACAAATCTGTTCACCAACTTTTCCAGGGAAGTCAATCAAATTTATTCTGCAAACTTTCCAGCAGAAATTGAAACTGAAATTCATTTTGGCCACAGTTTTATTTCAGGGACTCAAGATTTTAATACTTACTTGGCAAATTTTCTGACTGTGGCTTTCTCATAGATTAATCAATTAAAATAGAGATTTAGTTCAAACCTGTATCTGTTTATTATTGTTTGCTGCTATAGATTAAAGTCTTAATGTAGTTTGTACTCATACCTTTCCCTTCCACTCTGGAAGGCGAGACTTACAAAAAAGCCAAGGAAATAACTGAAGGATGGTCCTTCATCCCATATTACTGGTCAAGAACACCATCTGCTCGCTCACACAGGACATCTGTGGATAGGGGGGTCTGATGCCCTGAAACAGAGCTCCAAGCTATGTAGAGTCTGATGACCCCTGGCCACAGAGCTTCCTAATGGATACCAGGTAGTGTTTAAACCTGGGACTTCCTCTTTCATAAAGACATTATACAAAAGAATCATTGGTAGAATTTCAGAACAACCAAATTCGAACACGAGTATAAAATAAACATCTGAAAGTATGGTTTCATATTTACTTGTGCAGTGATATCCCAGCCTTCTTCCAAACAGACTAAAACTGAAGAACCATTTTCAAGTACTTCTGATACAACCACAGCCAGCTGCATTATCTTGTGAAGCTGAGAGATTGGGAAGAAAGCCACAATTAGAGTAAGACCTTTCGGCTCACAAAAGACAGACTGTCTATCAACTTTAGAGAATCAAACAAGACAGAATAAGGGCTAATGGCATTTGGACAAATGAAGCACATAGCTTTAAATACTTTAATCTTGATTTGGAAAAGAGCTTTAACAATGATATATTGAAAAAGCAGACCCATTTTAAAATACGTCCAAGTTATACATAATAAGACCAACAGACCCTACGTGATTCCCCAAACACATTATTGTTGTGATCGCGGTGGTTATGTGCCGCGGAGTCGTTTCTGACTCATAGCGACCGGGTACAGGGTTTCCGAGGCTGTAAATCTTGACACTAGAAACCCTCATCCTTCTCCGGTGGAGTAGCTGGTAGTTTTGAACTGCTGACCTTAAGGTTTGCAGCCCGATTTGTAACCACTACAGTACCAGAGCTCTTAAAACACATTATAGGAGCTGTAATTCCATAGAACCAAAAAGACAGAGATTGTATGTGGTCTTCCCAACATAGTTCTCAGGTTTAAAAATTGCTTTATGCTTGTGTAGTAAGTGCTATTTCAGATACTTCTAATTTTTCTGGAATTAGATACTAGCAATGGTTGCACAATTTTGTGAGGACACTTAAAAACGGAATTGTACACTTTTAAAAGGATGGATTCTTATGGTAAGTGAATTATATCTCAAAAGAAAAAGATACTTTGAGTTAATCTGTAATGTGTAATAAATGGGATAGAAAGCTTACATTTATGCTCTGCATTTTAAGCCAAACCAACTGACTCCAAGTCTCTAATGAACAATTCGGATGTGAGCAGAGCATGTAGATTTCAAGAACAAATGTGTAACATTCTAGTTACAAAATATATTTCACACATCACAGGACATAAATTACAGTACAAATTCAACTCTGAACTTAAAAAAAAAAACCACACAAAACCTAATATTTGAAACAGAAGTAAGCTGTTTAAAAACAGGCATAGCAATGGGATGCTCCTCACTTTTGGTGCCTTTATCATAGCTATCACCAGACCTGAAATCTCTTGGGCTCAGCATTTACTCTAGGAGCTAACTTTTATAATGCAAACATCTCCATATTAAAATATATACACACATTTAATTTTATTGTAGTGAAAATACAGCTATCAAAATATTTACCACACCTCAACAATTCTACATGTACAATTCAGTAGTATTGATTACATTTTCCAAGTTGAGTAACCATTCTTTATAATGTTTTACATCATGGTGTGGCGATTAATGAGCCAGACTGCATAGCCATTTGAACTACCAGGTCAGTGGTTCAAGCTCACCAGCTGCTCCTTGGAAACCCTATACAGGGTCACTATGGGTTGGAATTGACTCGACGGCACTTCAAAACCACCACCACCGTTAACACAAATTCTAAGACCCCAAACAAAAATTCCTCTTTTTCCGTTCCCTCACACCTCTGGCTGTTTTATATGCATATTTCATATAAGTAAGATCATTTAATATCTGTCATTTGGCTACTGACTTATTTTGCTCAGAATGTTTTCAAATATCATCCATGTTGTACCCTGCATCAAGACTTCACTTCTCTTACTGGCTGAGTAATATTCCATTGTGAGGAAATATTTTAAGCTGTCTTTAGTCACTAACTAAATCCTGGTAAGGATCCACTCTTGCTCAGGGAAGATGCCTGACATGTGGCAGGACAACAGACATATAGGTTGGTGATGTCAGGGAGTACTGATCAAACTTCTTCCATGGGTACCATTACTCTGAATTGTTTTAATAACAATTAACATACCCTGGTGTATATTTATAACTAATTATACATATGGCTGTCCTGGTATGGCACTGTAGAATAAGCACTGGACTGCTAACCACAAGATTGGCAGTTCAAACTCACTGGACGCCCCTCAGAGACCCTATACAGGGTTGCTATGAATTGACACTGACTCTATAGCACTTAACAACATACATGTGTTGGTTTATAGTTAAGTTTCGTGATTAATAGTCATTGCTCTGGGTTTTTGTATCATTTCCTGACTGTTAATTGAATGTTCTATGAGAAACAATCTTTTTTATTCCTAAAGCTTGAAGATCAAGGGGCAAAGGACAGAGGGGCTAGGAAATCCTGCAAGGGGTCATGGAACAATGGATACAGCATCAGGCATCTAAAGACTGAGCTTGTGGGCATGTATGTGCTGGCACACATATTTCTCCTGAAGTTCTTAATACAAGTTAATTGAAACATCTCAAACTTGACTTAGCTGAAGGAAGGATATGAGTTTTTTCCTAAACTGTAGGTAGTGTCCAGGACATACCATGTGTTCTTGGTGGTTGACTTAGGTGTGACTCTAAATTCTAGAGACATGCAACAAGCAGGGTCAAATGGAAGGTGAAAAAGTAGAAGGCAAAGGCTATTGGAGTTAAGCAGAAATTATATGCTGTACTGGATTCTCACTATGTCTACATCAACACTAAATACTTGCTGATTAAATCTGTTGTACATAAAAATGTTTCTATCTAAAAGCAATGATCACTTTAGCATCATACTGAGACCAAGTCATCAATTACACACAGATCAGAAGCCATGGCTCAAGAATTTTACCTTCTCGTATCTTACATCATATGGCTTCCAAGAAATGAAAGGCTTTTTCAGAGTGCATATGATAAAGGGGGGAACATGGGATCATGAAGGATTGGAACATTTTTTCTTAAAATATCGGATCTACCTATTCACATGGGCCTCTCTTTCCTTGACTTAAAGACAAGCTACTCCAGACATTACCTGTGGGAACCACTCAGAGTCTCCCAGGGCTTTCAGGAAGGTCACTTCTGAGTCAGTAGGGATGGTGCTTGGGATACAAGCCCTCATTAGTTTTTTAAAGCTGGCTTTCACTTGTCGGATGTCATGAAATTCAACAGGAACAAACTCACAATTTAAGGCAAATTCTAACTTGAAGCTCTGTGAATGAAGATGCAAAGAATTAGGCAGATGAAGTGCTGTGGTAGAAAGAGCCATCTTTTCAATAGGGCAATGTTTACACACATAGTTAGTTGAGACCAAGTAGCTGCAGTGCTGCAATGGATAAAGAAAGTCAGTCTGGTGCGGCTGATATGTCAATACTGCTGCAAAGAGCCCTTCAGTAAGGTTTTGATGTTTTCTGGTAGATTATTTAGCTTAGAAATGCTATCATTTTGAGAACTTGTAGTGACTATAGGTAGGCTGCAACTTGATGGAGTTTATAATACCAAGTATAAGCCTGCAAGTTAAAATGTAACCTGGAAGTTTAAACAGGAACCAATAACACATGCAAATCCAACAGTATAAATTAAGTGCCCCCAAGAAACACTTTGTAAGTAGAATGTAATATACTCTTGGAGTTCTTGAACTCTATAAATTAAAGTTTGTAGACATAAAAATAATTGTTCTTACTATGTAAATAAAACATATTCATTGTAAAAATACAAAAGGAGCCCTGGCAGTACACTGGTGTAAAAAGGAAGAAAAAAAAGTTGAGGTAAACATTAAAAAGGAAATAAAAATCACTATCTCACTGTCCCAGAGCTCCTGGTGTGGTGCTATAGAATAAGCACTGGACTGCTGAACTGCAAGGTTGGTGGGTTCAAACCTACCAGCTGCTCCTCAGAAACCATATACAGGGTCACTAAGAGTCAAAACAATGACACTTAACAACAATAACATCTCATTGTCCTAAGGCTGACAAAACTGTGATTACTCTTAGAAAGTCAGTAATGAAAGAGTAAAAAGTAAACAATTTTGTTGATTCCTAGCATGGGGATAATATTTTTTAACACAGGGTGACATGTAAATTTATATTTTACTCGAGTACCTTTATCATTTCATCTTTACAGAATTCATTATGTATGAAATTTGGGCTGTCACATTTGCAATGAAAGAATGTGCTACTGATGGCCCATTGATATTTTGCTTTATTTTTATAACCTGGTTAGGTAAAAGTTCTATAACTTTTTATGCCAAAGAATGAATGTTCTCATATTCTTTTTTTTTTTTTTCCCCCTCACATTCTGCCTAAATTGCTCTATTGAATAATTTGCTTTTTTAAGAGTAAAAATTCTGGCCATACTTATATATCCCAACCAAACCAAACCAAATCAAACTAAACCCACTGCCAGAGTTGATTCCAACTCAAAGCAACCCCATGGGACAAAGTACTACTGCTCATTAGGGTTTCCCAGACTATAAATCTTCACAGGAGTTGGTTGTTGATGTTGTTAAGTAATGTCTAGTCGGTTCTCACCCATAGCAACCCTATATAGGATTTCCGAAGAGCAGCTGGTGAGCTTGAACCACTAATCTTGCAGTTTAAACTGACCTTGCAGTCCAGCACATTAACCCACAGCACCACACTATATGGGGTATATTTAATATTGATTATTTTAGCATTACAGTGTTTATTAAACATTTACTCATAAAAGCAGAATTTCGCAAGTTTTTGTTCTTAACAGCATTTTCAATATGTATCAAAAAATACATTTTTATTTATTTTAGTAATTCCACTTATAGGAAATAATAGGAAGTATTGGAAGAAAAAAAAGGACTAGTGAATTATAACTAAAACAAAGACAGTGTATACTTACTAAGACTGTAATTTTACATACAGAATATTAAGAAATAAATCTAAACACCCAACAATATGGGATGTTCTGGTGATAAATTATGAAAACTATTATACAACATGGAAGCATAATGCTATTGCTTAAGAAAAGAACTTAGTAGTATATATGAATTCCTATCAGTTCTTTGTGTGTGTGTGTTTTTTAAATCTTATATCTTAAAAACGGTACTTTTCAGAAAAAGGTTGCTTTCCATTTTCCAACTATGCATGAATTAAGGATACCTATCTTTTAGATAACCAAGAGTTATCTGTTAGAAGGCAGTATAGGTCAAGGAATTTTCTACTACTCATGAAAGCACTGAAGTATGTGATGTTAAAAATGTATCACACCAAAAAAACCTGTTGCAGTTGAATCAATTCCAACTCACAGTATAGTGATTCTATAGGACAGAGTAGAAATTCCCCATAAGATTTCCATGGTTATAAATCATTTTTTCTTAACCTTTTGATTGTGAATTGATTGAAGGTTTACAGAACTGATCGAAAGTTTGACACTCAACAAATCATACTTTGCTTTATTACAAGGTTACCTCCATGTACCAACAGTTAACAGCATTTACCTCTGTTCACTTTAACCACTGTATCTCCTGTTACCATCCCCTTTCCTCTGTTAACCTCCTTCTTGTTATATATTGTGGGCCCTGTCACCCATGTTAACATATGACCACCTTCTATCCCATGAATGATTCATCTCCCCCCCATAACCATTACAGATTATCATTTTTACAACAACGGTTGTCCTTTTGTGATTGACTAATTTCACTCAGCATAATAATGTCCTTCTTCCAGCGTCAACTATGTTGTGAGGTATTTTTCAGATTCATCATTATTCTTCAATGTTTTGTAGTATTCCATTGTGTGTATGTACCAAAGTTCATTTAACCTGATGGGCATTTAGGCTTTCTCCCATCTTTTTGATATCTCTTGTAAACAGCATATTGAAGGATCCTGTTTTCTTATCTATCTGGTTCTTCACTTTATTTAATCCATTTACATTTAGTGTAATTATCAGTAGGTATGAATTGACTGTTGTCATTTTTCTGTGGTTTTTTTTTTTTTTTTGTGTGTGTGTGTGTGTGGTACTATGGAATTCTTTGTTCCACATAATTTTCTATACTGTGATATTCTATTTTTGGGTTTTCTTTTCATTTCTGTGTGTTAATGTTTACTAAATCTGTTTGATTTTTATCCTTTCATATTTTGATGTGCAAGTATATTATTTTTATTTGAAGTTACCTTGCAATTTAGTAATTTTTTTCCTGGCTTAAAACAGTCTGTTTTATCTTGAAATATACTTGACTTCCTTACTATTTGAAAATTCTGTATCTACACCATTACCTTTTTTGTTTTGTACTTGACTTCACTATTCATTGGTATCTCTGGTTCATTATTTTCAGTCTTTTAGGCTTGTTTTACTTTAAGTCTATCTGTATCGGGATAGAGTTCTGTCTGGGTGGTGGTGTCATATATGGTAATCTCAAGTTGTTATTTGTTGTTGGCTCTCAGTTCAAAGAATACCTTTTAGCATTTTTTTGTTAAGTTTGGTCATTACAAATTCCATTAATTTCAGTTTATCAGGAAATATCCTAAAATCTCTGGTAGTGTAGTGGTTACGAATCGGGCTGCTAATCTCACGGTCAGCAGTCGAAACTACCAGAAAGAGGAGGCTTTCTGCTCCCATAAAGATTTACAGCCTCAGAAACCCTGTACAGGGTCGCTGTTAGTAGGAACTGACTCCCCGGCACATAACAACAACAACAACAACATTCTAATATCTCTGTCTTAATTGAGGGATAACTTTGCTATGTATATATGATTCTTGATTGGCAATTTTTTTATTTCAGAGTTTTGTATATGTTGTCCCATTGCCTTCTTGTCTGCATTGTTTCTGCTGTGTACTCAGAGCTTAGTCTTATTGATTCTCCATTGTAGTTAACGTCTCACTTTTCTTGAGCTGCTCTCAGAATTCTTTCCCTGTCTTTAATACTGTATAATTTGATTATGAGATTTTGGAAAGCTTGATTATAATGTATCTTGGTGTTTTTCTTTGGGGAGCGATCCTGTTTAGGGTTCTTTCAACTTCTTGTTATCATCTCGCCTTTAATGATATTAAGGAATTTTTCTTCCAACAAGCTCTTCAACAGTTTTCTCTGTGCTTGTCTCCTGTGTTCTGGAATTCCAATCACCCAAAAGTTGTTCCTCTTCATGATATCAGTCCCACATAACTCTTAGGCTTTCTTTGGATGATTTTATTCATTTTTATGATTGCTCTAGCATACTAGTATTGAGAGATTTCTCTTCAAGCTCATTAATCTGGGCTTCCGTTGCTTCACATCTATTCCTTTGCCTTTTCAGTGTATTTTCCATTTCTGACATTTTAGTATTAATCTTTTGGATTTCTAATTGCAGCTTTTGTATTTCAAAATTTGCATTTATTTTGTCTGTTTTTGTTGTTCTCCTGAATTCTCCTATTGTGTTCTCCTTGCTTACCTTGATTTTTCTATCAGTCCTTTCAAAGTACCCAATTACCAGTCTTTTGATTATTTTTCAGTTAGTTCTTTTACCTTTTCTTCCTCAGAAACATTTTCTGTCTCTGCATCTTGGTTATTTGTTTGAGCCATTCTCTCTTGTTTCTTCATGTGGACTAAAATTGTTTGTTACCTCTGGGGCATTATAGAATTATAAAAAACAAAACAGTTGTTGGACCCCAACAACTCTCTGGTGGTGGCGGTGGTGGTGGTGTGGGAGGGTGGGATTCTGCAGTACAAGGAGCTCATGAGGTTGTGGAAGGAATGTGACAGCAGAGTTCCTGGCCCTAAATGGGAGTTCCTATTGGCCTCGGTATTACCTATGTTCAGTGTACTCAATCTGGGAAATCATACTTGGGAACCTTTGGAGTTGGTTTCAGTACTTGTCAGGACCACAGGGAAGCTGTGGTCAGTGTGACTAGTTAAATGCTGATCTGGTGGTTCTGTGGGTTTTATAGGTCTGGAGCTGAGCCTAATTGAACCCAGGCACCAAAGCAGCACACCAAAGCAGCTCAACCAGCCTTCACCTCACGTTGGCGTGGCTCCCAACCATGTGACTCTGAACTCCTGAAGAGCCGGGTCTGCACTGGGGGTGGATGAGGGTGGGAGCTGGCCACACTTTTGATCATTAGGGGATTGTGCAGAAAAGAAGAAATCGCACCTTTTCTGTTGCCTGCTGAAATCTGCTCTGTCAGGCCTCCCTCCACTGCCAAAGCTACTCACAAGATGGTCAAACCATGTCTGGCCAGCCATTCACCAGTTAGTCTCCCACTCTT